GGAAGGGCCGGGGGCTGCGGCAGCCCCCAACGATGGGCGGGGCGCACCGGGAGGGGCAGCGCAGGGCGGGGGCGGGTCCCGTGGCTGCGACCCCCACGGTGGAAGGCACCCCCAGGGCAGCCCCGTCCGGCACCGCCGCTGGCCCTGCTCAGCCACCGCCCCTCGCCTCGCCCACAGCTTTAACATTAAGCCAAGATGTAATACAGAGCACCACAAGATGCTGTCTGACCAACCTGATCTCCTTTTATGATCAGCTGACCTGCCTGGTGGACGAGGGGAAGGCTGTAGATGTGGTCTATCTGGACTTCAGCAAAGCCTTTCACGCTGTCTCCCATAATATACTCCTGGGAAAGCTGGCAGCCCACGGCTTGGCCAGGTGCACTCTCTGCTGGGTTAAGAGCTGGAGGGCTGGGCCCAGAGAGTGTTGGTGGACGGGGCTGCATCCAGCTGGTGGCCGGACACCAGTGGTGTCCCCCAGGGATCAGTGCTGGGCCCAGTCCTGTTTAACATCTTTATGGATGATTTAGATGAGGGGATTGAGTCCATCATCAGCAAATTTGCAGATGACACTAAGTTAGGAGGGAGTGTCAATCTGCTGGAAGGCAGAAGGGCTCTGCAGAGGGATCTGGATAGACTGGAGAGTTGGGCTGATTCCAATGGGATGAAGTTCCACAAGGCCAAGGGCCGGGTCCTGCACTTTGGCCACAACAACCCCCTGCAGCGCTACAGGCTGGGGACAGAGTGGCTGGAGAGCAGCCAGGTGGAAAGGGATCTGAGGGTGCTGATTGACAGGAGGCTGAACATGAGCCAGCAGTGTGCCCAGGTGGCCAAGAAGGCCAATGGCATCCTGGCCTGCATCAAGAACAGTGCAGCCAGCAGGATGTGGGAAGTGATTCTTCCCCTGTACTCAGCGCTGGTGAAGGGACTCGGGCACAAGTCCTATGAGGAGAGGCTGAGGGAGCTGGGGTTGCTTAGTCTGGAAAAGAGGAGGCTCAGGGGTGACCTCACCCCAATTCTGTCCCACCCCCCCGAGCTGGGCAGCTGAGGCCAAGGCTCACCTTCCTCCTGGCAATCACTGTCTCAGCACACCAAGGCCCATGCAGGGCAGCACTTGGGAAAACTTGGGAAAGGCAACAGGAAAATGGCAGTGCCTGTCAGAAAACGAGTGCCCACAAACACACCTTTGAGACAAATGGAATAACATCACTCTCCTCCAAGAAACACAGGCCAGGCAGGGCTCTCCAGCCCAGGGGAGAACAGGCAGGAGAATGCAGGGAACACAGGGAGACACAGGCAGGCATTGCCACTTATTCCCTGCAGCCCTCTCTGCACTTGGGGCTCCTGGCTCTTGATTTATAAAGAATGGCGGGGGGGACAGCGTGTGACTGAAACACCCTAACGTGCAACGTCACGAGTGTGGCTCGAACACGCTAAAAACATGCGACGTCACGCGTGTGGCTCCAACACGCTAAAAACACGCGACGTCACACGTGTGGCTCCAACACACTAAGAACACGCGATGTTGCGCGTGAGGGCCTATACGCTAAGAACACGCGACGTCACGCGTGTGACTAAACACGCTAAGAACACGCGACATCACATGTGTTCCTAAAAAACGCTAAGAACAAGCCACATAACGCGTGTGCGGTTCAACACGCAAAAAACACGTGACATCATGCGTGGGCCCTCAACATGCTAAGAACACACGACGTCACGCATGTGCCTCGAACACGCTAAGAACACATGACGTGACACATGAAAACCCAGAACGCTAACAACACGAGACGCCACGAGTGTGACTGAAATACGCAAAGAACACCCGACGTCACGTGTGTGACTCAAATACACTAAGTACACGCGACCTTGCGCGTGTGGGTTCAAGACCCAAAGAACTTGTGTCATCACGTGTGTGCGACTCAACTTACTAAGAACACGCGACGTCAAGTGTGTGACTCAAACACGTTAAGAACACGCAACGTCACACCTGTGGGTCCAACAGGCTTAGAACACGCGACGTCACGCGTGCACATAGAACACGATAAGGACATATGACATCACACGTGTTTTACAAACACACTAACACGCGACGTCACCCCTGTGACTCAAACATGCTAAGAACACGTGACGTCACGGTTGTAAGCCCAACAGGCTAAGAACACCAGACATCACGCATGTGACTGAAACACGCTAAGAATACGCGATGTCATGCGAGAAGCATGGTGCCTGGAGCCAGAAAATGGGCGGGTTGGAGCCGGAAGTGGGTGGGCCGGAGCTGGAAGTGGGTGGGCCCGAACAGGAAGTGACCCCTGACGCCCCCCCATACCCGGAAGTGGCCCCAGGGGGCCAAAAACCTGGGTTTATTCCAAACAGAAGTGGTGCCAGCCGGCAGAAAGCATGGCGCCCGAAGCCAAAAGTGGGCGGGCCGGAGCCGGAAGTGGGTGGGCCTGAACAGGAAGGGACCCCTGACGCCCCCCCATACCCGGAAGTGGCCCCAGGGGGCCAAAAACCTGGGTTTATTCCAACCAGAAGTGGTGCCAGCCGGCAGAAATCATGGCGCCCGGAGCCAGAAGTGAGAGAGCCTGGAGCCGGAAGTAAGTGGGCCCGAACCGGAAGTGGCCCCCGCCGCCCCCCCATACCCGGAAGTGGCCCCAGGGGGCCTAAAACCTGCTTTGTTTCCAAACGGAAGTGGTGCCAGCTGGCAGAAAGCATTGTGCCCAGTGCCGGAAATGATCGGGCAGGAGCCGGAAGTGGACGGGCACGAACCAGAAGGGGCCTCCGCCCCCCCCCCATACCCGGAAGTGGCACCATGGGGCCAAAAACCTGGGTTTTTACAACTGGAAGTGGTGCCAGCCAGCAAAAAGTATGGTGCCCGGAGCCGGAAGTGGGCGGGCCCGAACCAGAAGTGGCATTTGCCGCCCGTCCATAACCGGAAGTGGCTCCACGGGGCCAAAAATCTGGGTTTTTCCAACCGGAAGTGGTGCCAGCCGGTAGAAAGCATGGCGCCCGGAGCCATAAGTGGATGGGCCGGAGCCAGAAGTGGGTGGGCCCGAATCGGAAGTGGCCGCCACCGCCTCCCCATACCCGGAAGTGGCCCTAGTAGGCCAAAAACCTGGGGTTTTTCCCACCGGAAGTGGTGCCAGTCGGCAGATAGCATGGCGCCCGGAGCCGGAAGTGGGCGGCCCGAAGCCGGAAGTGGCCCCCGTCGCCCCTTCATACCCGGAAGTGGCCCCAGGGGGCCAAAAACCTGGGAGTTTTCCCACTGAAAGTGGTGCCAGCCGGCAGAAAGCATTTCGTGCGGAGCCAGAAGTGGGCGGGCCTGAACCGGAAGTGGTCCCCGCCGCCCCCCCATACCTGGAAGTGGCCCCAGAGGGCAGAAAACCTGGTTTCCCCCACAGAAGTGGGGTCAGCCGGCAGAAAACATGGCTCCCGGACCTGGAAATGGGCAGACCAGACCTGGAAGTCGGCGTGCCCGAACCGGAAGTGGTCACCACTACCCCCTCATACCCAGAAGTGGCCCCCGAGTGCAGAAAACTTGGTTTTCCCCCCCCAGAAGTGGTGCCAACCGGCAAAAACATGGCGCCCAGACTCGGAAGTGGGTGGGCATGAACCAGAAGTGGTCCCCCCTGCCCTCCCCATACCTGGTAGTGGCCCCAGGGGGGCAGGAACCCTGCTTTGCCCCAACCAGAAGTGATGCCAGCTGGCAGAAAACACGGGGGACAGACCCGGAAGTGGGCGGGTCCCGACCCAGAAGTGGGCTGGCCCAAACAGTTCAGGATTCCACTTCCGGTTTTGAAAAACCACTTTTCCTGCCAGCTGGGGCCATTTCCTGGTCGGGGAAGGCCCCTGTCAGCCGGCTGAGGCCACTTCCAGGTTCGGGAGGCCACTTTCGGTTTCGGGATTCCACTTCCTGTTTTGAAAAATTGCTTTTCCTGCCGACTGGGACCATTTCCGGGTGGGGGAAGGCCCCTGCCGGCCTGTTGAGGCCACTTCTGGTTTCGGGACACCATTTCCGTTTTTGAAAAAACCATTTGTTCTGCTGGCTGGGGTCAATTCCGGTTGGGGGGAGGTCCCTGCCTGCTGATTGGGACCACTTCCGGTTTCAGGACGCCACTTTAGATTTTGGGACACAACTTCTAGTTTCGGAAAAAACATTTTTTCTGCCTGCTGGGGTCACTTCCAGTTGGGGGAGGTCCATGGCTTCCGGTGGGGAACACTTCTGGGTGTGGGGATGCTACCTTTCCTTCCGGTTGGGAGCACTTCCATGTGGGTGGAGGACCTTGGTTGCCATCTGGGAGCACTTCCGGGTGGGGGTGCGCCACCTTTCCTGCCGGTTGTAAGCACTTCCGAATGGGGGGAGGACCTTGCCTGCTGGCTGGAAGCACTTCTGGGTGGGGGGGTGCCACCTTTCCTGCCGGCTGGGAGAACTTCCAGGTGGGGGGCACCATCTTTTCTGCTTTCTGGGAGCACTTCCGTGTAGGGGGAGGACCTTGACTGCCAGCTGGGAGCACTTCTGGGAGGGGGGCCATATTGCCTACCAGCTTAGAGTTCTTCGGGGGGGTGGGGGGGGTGCCATCTTGCCTGCTGGCCGGGAGCAGTTCCGAGTGGGGAGGGACCTTCCCTGCCGTCTGAGAGCACTTCCGGGTAGGGGGCACCACCTTTCCTTCCAGCTGGGAGCACTTCCAGGTTAGGGGGACCTTCCCTACTGGCTGAAAGCTCTTCCAGGTCAGGGGGCGTCATCTTGCCTGACAGCTGGGAGCACTTCTGGGTGGGGGGACGCCATATTTTGTGCCGGCTGGGAGTTTTTCTGGGTGGGGGGGTACCACCTTTCCTGCTGGCTGGGAGCACTTCCAGGAGGGGCGCCATATTGTCTGCCAGCTGGGAACACTTCCGGGTGGGGGGACACCATATTTCCTACCAGCTGGGAGCACTTCCAGTTGGGGGGGCGCCACCTTGCCTGTTGACTGGGAACACTTCCGGGTGGGGGGGCTGGAGCAGGGGCACAGAAGAGCAGCGAGGCTGGGGAAGGGACTGGAGCACAAGTGCTGTGAGGAGAGGCTGAGGGAGCTGGGGGGGCTCAGCCCGGACAGGAGGAGGCTCAGGGGAGACCTCCTCACTCTCTGCAACTCCTGCCAGGAGGGGGGAGCCAGGGGGGTCGGGCTCTGCTCCAGGGAACAGGGACAGGACAAGAGGGCTCGGCCTCCAGCTGTGCCAGGGCAAGGACAGGTTGGACACCGGGAAGGAATTTTTTCCATGGAGAGTGCTCAGCCATTGGAATGGGTTGCCCAGAGAGGGGGTGGAGTCACCGTCCCTGGAGGTGTTTGAGGACAGACTGGATGTGGCATCAGTGCCATGGGCTGGGTGACAGGGTGTGGTTGGGTCACAGGTGGGACTGGATGATCTCGGAGGGCTTTTCCAACCCAGTTGATTCTGTGACCGTGTGACTGTGTCACTCTGTGACTGTGTGATTGTGTTACTGTGTGACTGTGTGATTGTGTCACTGTGTGACTGTGAATGTGTGACTGTGACTGTCAATGTGTTACTGTGTGACTCTGTGAATGTATTACTGTGTGACTCTGTGACTCTGTGACTCTCTGAATGTGTGACTCTGTGAATCTGTGAATGTGTGACTGTGACTCTGTGAATGTGTCTCCACAGGGTCCTTCTGCTGGTGGTTCTGACCCTGGGTAGCAGTTCCCAGGAAACTCTCTGGAATCCTTGGAGAAAACACCTGGGGGAAAGACGGAGAGGGACTCAGGAGGGACAAACTCCTCTCTCCTCGGTGTAAGTAAATCCCTGGTCAGAGACTTCAAATTCCTCTTCCATTTTGTGCTGATTTGTTGGGAAGTGAAGGAGTTTTGTTTGAATTTCACTGCAATTCTGAGTTTTCCCCCTATTTTCCTGCTGGAGCTGGGGAAGGGATGAGGATCTGTGTGCATTGATCAGTGGCATAGCTCAGGAAGGGGGTCTCTGCTCTGGAAATGAATGGAATTGTGGTGTCACTTGTCACCCTCTGCAGGTCTCGGCTGTACCCCTGCCATTCCCAGAAGATGATCTGCTAGGAAACCAGTCCATGGAGCTTCCAGAGGACTGGGAGGACTGGGAGGAGCCACAGCTGGACACCAGCCAGGTGTGTGCCCCCCCAGGAGTCCTGGGCAATGTGGACATGAGGGAGGGACTGGGAGGGACTAGGATGGTCCTGGGGCAGCTTCCAGTGCATCCCTGGAGGACACCAGGGCTCAGACAGGGAGGGACTGGGATGGACATTGAGCCCAGCAATCCCTGGAGGACACCAGGGCTCAGAGATGGGGCTGGCCATGAGGCCAAGGGCCAAATTTGGCCTTTCATGAGTTTACAGAACACCCTGAGTTGGGAGGTACCCACAAGGACCCCCAAATCCAACTCTGAAGTGAATGATCCATGTAGGGATCGAACCCAAACCCCCTCATCCCCAGAGCCTTTGGCCAGTGTTTGGTTGGTTCATTACCCACTTTTTGAGGGGGATAAACCAGGAAAATCCCTTTCTGATCCAATTCCATTCCTGGAAACAGGAATTGTCCCGGCTCAGGTGATGGACAATGATTTGTGGTTGTTGTCTGAGCCCTGACATCCCATTTCCCTCTTTGTTTCCTGCCCTCCTGGGCACAGATTTCCTTCGGAGACCCCAAACCCAGCACCCTCCAGTTGGACCATCACAGAGGTTGGACCCCAATAGTCCCCTAAAAAGTGATTGGAGAAATCCCTGGAATGTTTCCTGGCAGCTGCTGGCTCATTGACGAGGATGTTTTTAGGAACAGGAACAAGGGAGTGACTCCAAGAGCGGAGACTGAACCTTGCTCTGACTCGGGAAGTCTGGCAAAATCTTGGTCCTGTTCCCATCCCTTCCTCCTTTTCCAGCCCCTGCGGATTCCTCTCTGAATCCCGGAGCTGGAATGTGGGATGTTCCCGCAGCCACGAGAGGGCTCCCGGCACGAACACGGGCACAGAAAACGCCTCCCAGACCTGCGGGTGGGAGAGCTGCGGCTGTGCCGGGAGCGTCCAGAGCTTTGTTTTCCCTCCTGGATACCCCATTTCCCTTGGCTGGGAATGGTTCAGCTGGAGAGAGACCTGGAAGTGCAGGGGTTAGAGTTTAAACCTCTGAATTTCTGAGAATTATGGAAGTGTTTGGGTTGGAAGGGACCTTAAAGCCCATCCAGGTCCAACCCCAGGGACACCTTCCACTCTCCCAGGTTGCTCTAGCCTGGCCTTGGACACTCACAGGGATCCAGGGGTAGCCACAACTTCTCTGGGAAACCCCTTCCAGCCCTTCCCCACTCTCCAAGCCGACAATTCCTTCCCAATATCCCATCTGTCCCTGCCCTCTGGCACTGGGAAGCCATTCCCTGTGTCCTGTCCCTCCAGACCTTTTCCCCAGTCCCTCTCCAGCTCTCCTGGAGCCCCTTTAGGCCCTGCAAGGGGCTCTCAGATCTCCCTGGAGCCTTCCCTTCTCCAGGTGAACCCCCCCAGGGGCCTCCTCTGGACTCTCTCCAGTAGCAAATCCAAGGCTCCCCGTTTTATCAGGAACTTGGGGACGCTAAAACAACCACCCCAAGTTTTTTAGAACACTTCAACTCCCTCTCCCCCCACCCCAGCACAGCAGGATCTGCACTCCAGGGGTCACATTTGGTGCTGAACCCCCTTTTTCTCCTCAGGAGGAGGAGGAAGAGGAGGAGGGGAAAAACAACATTCCCTGTCTCCCGACAGCGGGAAGGAGCCGGAGCCAGGAGAGAGGGAATGTTTGCCCAGCAGCAGCAGCTGCAGTGACAGGTTTTTTTACCCCTTCAAAGTCTCAGGGGTGGGGAGCAGACCCTGGAAAGCGACATCCCATAATAACCCCTCAGCTCCATCTCACAGGAGCAATTAGCGGTGGGGCCAGAGTTAATTGGGGGAGAGGGAAATGAAGGGCAGGAAGGGGCAGGATGAGCCCGGGAAGGCACGGATGGTGCCTCTTGTGATGGGATCATCCTTCCCCCTCCCACTCCTGAACAATTCCAGCCTCCTCCACCTCCCACCTGTTCATTTCCAGCCTTAATTCAGATCGATTCCCCAAGGCTGATAAACACGAGGTCGCTTCATTTCCCTCCCTTTCTTTTTTTTTTTTCCCTCTTTCTTTGTGGGAAGATTTTTTTTTATTTAAATCTCCCTTTTATTTCCATTTTTCGCTTTCCTGCCCTTAATTTTACCTGTTCCTTTTCTCCCTTATCTCTTTTCCTTCTTTTTTTCTGCTTTTCTCCTTTTTTTCTCCCACCCCCCCCCTACCCTCCCTCCCCAGCAGCAGCAAATCATTCCTTTCAGAAAGCAGCTTTTTCTTTCAGCACCTCCGAGCCGAAAACTGCTCAAATTGCCAAGGAATTGCAGGATGGAGGCGAGTTATTACCCCCTGCAATTTCCCAGCACCCCAGGAAATGGGATTTCGTGCATGTGGGGGGCACAGCCCGACCCTCGGGGGGGGTGGTGGGGGGGGTCTTGGCAACCCCTGGACGTGCCTTGAGGAGCTGTTTCCATGGCTGAGGATTGAACGAGGAGCTGAGCGGATGAGAAAGAGCATTTTCCAGCCATCTCCAGGTGGATAAACCCAAAACAGGGACTCCCAGGAATTCCTTCCCAATCTCCCATCTGTCCCTGTCCTCTGGCACTGGGAAGCCATTCCCTGTGTACTGTCCCTCCAGGCCTTGTCCCCAGTCCCTCTCCAACTCTCCTGGAGCCCCTTTAGGCCCTGCAAGGGGCTCTCAGGTCTCCCTGGAGCCTTTCCTTCTCCAGGATGAACATTCCCAGCTGGATCCAGCTGGGGATGGATGGCAACATCCTTGTGTTCTCATCCCACGGGATCTCCGAGCCCCCCAGATCAGCCTGGAGATATTTCTCTTATCCCAAAAACCCCCTGCCCGAGATGGGTCCTCCCTGGCCCTCTCTCCCTAATTCCTCCTTCTCCCATCCCTGTCCTCCTTTGGGAATTTCAGTTTTCATTGGATCAATCCCAATTCCTTTCCCTCCCCTCCTTATATATTTAAAATAGTTTTATTTCTATTATTATTATTATTATTATTATTATATATTTATGTCTGTGAGTCACAAACTTTGTGGAATTATCCCCTGGTCGGTTGAAAATCCCGGAAAACAGGACTGTGATCCCTGAAAACCTGAATAGGGCTGTGCTGGCCCAACTTTTCCTGGGAAATCCTTCCTTTAGGATTTCCTTTTCCCAGCTTAAACCATTTCCAAATCTCCACACAAAAGCAAAATTAATTTGGATTAATCCACATTTTTTTGCTCCTGTACAAAAAAAAAAATGCAGGAATGGAACTAAAAAACTGCTCCCAATCCCAGTTTTTTCCTCTCCTTCCTGCGCTCTGGGAAGATCTCGGGCTTTGAGTGCGAAGAGGTGTCTAATTTGGTTTAATTATTAATTAATTCCCTGGTTTTATGCTTTGATATCAAAATATCTGGCGATTCCGGGCTGTGGGATGGGGAATAACTGCTGGGAATGTAGCTCCTCATCTTGATCATCTGTTCATGCTTCCAACTCCTCTTTTTTATTCCCAATGCTCAGGTATTCAAATTTAAAAAAAAAAAAAAAATTTAAATACCAAAAAAAATTCGAATTAAAAAAAAAATTCAAATGCCAAAAAAAATTCAAATACCAAAAAAAAAATTCAAATGCCAAGGAATTAACCTGTTATTCTCTCCCAAAAGCTGATTTTTAACACCCTTTCTCTTCCCATTGCTCCATAGTTTGGCTTTCCAGGACCTACAATTCCTGGGTGTTCCTTGACCTTCCCCATCCTGGTGCTCCTCATTAAGAGTCCAGGTTGGAGCTCAGGGTTGTTCTTCACCTCCCCCTCTGGATTTTTCAGCAGCCTGGGGATTCTTGCCCTAAAAAGAATAGGATCTGTGTGGTGACACCATCCAACAGCCATGGGATTATTCCCAGGGGTGTCCTGCTCCAACTTCCCTGGAGGTTGGAGACCCACCAGCTCCTGGGATCTTCTGCTTCTGCTTCCAGATCATCCTGGATGTGTTTCCCTCTCCAGTGTTTGCCAGAGTATGTATTCCAAACCTGGAGCAGAGAGGGAGGGAAAAGTGGGAGAAATCTGGGATTTTTCACTCCATTGGGTGTCTAAAATGGGCATGACCATTCAGGATCTGGGAATTAAGGGTGGATATATCCCAGAGTGTGTGTGGGGGGGGTGGTTTTAAGCAGGAATTTGACTTTGCTGCAGATATTGTGGTGCCCCTGAATCTCTGGAAGTGTCCCAGGCCAGGCTGGATTCTCTTGGTGCACCCTGGGATAGAGGAAAGTGTCCCTGCCCATGGCAAGGGGGTGGGACTGGATGGGCTTTAAGGTCCCTTCCCGCCCAAACAATTCCATGATTGCATAATAGTGCCTGAGGACGAGTTATCATCGGAGCCTCCAGGACACACGGAACCACCATGGAATGGTTTGGGCAGGAAGGGACCTTCAGGACTGTCTCATTCCACCCCCTGCCATGAGCAGGGACACCTCCCACTATCCCAGGTTGTTCCCACACCAAGTCACGATTTTTCTGGGGGGAGAGAGAGAGGAGGATGCTCCAAACTGCAGCAAATCACCGCAGGACAAAAAACACTGGCAGGGAAGGGGTAAAAAACCCGGGCAAGGGATAAAAACCCCGCTGAAACTCTTGAGGTGGACACTCCCAGCCTCCTCCATTTGCATAATTAATCCTGGAAGCCCGGGAGGTGGGAATCTTTGGAGTGGAGGGGTTGGGAATTCCTGGCACCCTTTGACGTTTCAGAGAGCTCCGCGCATACTTCCAGGAGGTGCCGGTGGGTGCCACCCTTTCCCAGCGCGATCCAACTCATTCCCAGCCTATTCATCTGCCTGCAGGGGCTGAGCCGAGAGGCTCCAGCCCAAGGATCCGCAGGAATTTGTGCCTGGAAGCATCTGGGGCCGCTCGGAGATGTCTTTGCGTCACGGGAGTGATGACTCAGCCTCTCCCCGATACCTGTGTCTGGGTGAAGCTGCTCCAGCAGCACTTTAATAACAGCAAGAGCCATTTCCAGGACTCCACCGGTCAAATTGCCTTGAAACTGCTTTTTTTTTGCCCAGCTTTTATTTGCCTGGAAAGACCCACAATGAAAATCTGAAGAGACAAATTTCCATTTCCATTCAGCTCCTTCCCCTTTTCAAAGTGCTCAACATTTTCCCTCTTCTTCTCTCTCCTTTTTTTTATACTATTTTTCAATTTTGTCTCTTATTTTTATAATTTTTCCCCTTTTCTATCTTTTTCTTGGCCCTGGTGCAGATTTCCTTGGGAATCCTCACCTCACCTCCTTGTTCTGCTTCCCTCCCAGCTGCAGCAGGGCTAGTGCCTGTGGTACCTGTGTCTTTGCAGCTGATGAAGTCTTTGCAACACTTTAATGACAGCAAGAGCCATTTCCACCACTTAAATTGCCTTTAAACTGCTTTTTCCCCCATCTTTTATTTACCTAGAAAGAGTCAAAATGTAAACCTGAGGGGACAAATTTCCATTTCCATTCAGATCCTTCTTTGCAAACTGCTCAACATGTTTCCTCGTCTTCTCCCTCCTTTCTTTTTATATTATTTTTCATTTTTATCTCTTTTTTTATTATTTTTCCCCCCTTTTCTGTCTTTTTCTTGTCCCTGGTGCAGATTTCCTTGGGAATCCTCACCTCCTTGTCCTGCCTCCCTCCCAGCTGCAGCAGGACCAGACCTGCTGCCACCTCCAAGCCTGGTGACAAACCTTCTGGTCCCCCGTGGTAAAGCCTATGGAGGGACAAAAACAATCCCAGACTTGTTTCTCTTCACTAGGCCAGGCTTAAACCCAGCTTGCAGCCTTCCAGCTCAGCTTAAGCTCTTCCTAAACCCAGCTGGGATCCTTGCAGGTCGAGGTGAATCAAGAAGCACCTCACGACGTAAAGCAGGGAGATGAGAGCTGGGCACAGGCAGGGGGCGGGGGGACAAAAACAGGAAAACAAGGAAAAACTTGGCACAGAAAACCTCAGAAACCTCGAATTGGTGTCAGGATCCGTCAGGCTCAGGTTCCAGAAAAGCCTTTTTTCGCCCCTGCCCTCGGGAACAGCCCTGGCCAGATGGGCTGGCCCAGCCTGTGGCTATCTCAGCAATTCTAGGCACTTGTGAGATTCCAGGGAGAATCTGGGCATTTGTGGGGTTTAACCCCCCCCAACCAAATGGTTTATTACTCTCCAAACAAGCAACCTGTCCCAGCAAACAGAGAACATTCCTGTTATCCCTGGAGTTTATGGCCCTTTTTACAGCCCTAGCTGGAACTTCCCCTGTCAATTGTGTCAACAAACACAATTGGCACCCGGGAATAGTTTGCAGGGCACGCCTGGGCCTGAGGGTTGGTTGCTGGTGGATTTTCCTTGATCCAAACATGACCTGCAGAGCCAGAGAAGCACCAGGTTGGCTCCCCCAAAGCCACCTTTTACTCAGAAATATAAAATACGCTGAGTTTTTCCACCTGGGAATGAAACGGTGCTTGGTCTGGGACGGACTCTGGGCTGGTTCTTGTCACCAGGATCGTGTTGGGAACAGTTTGAACTGTTCATCTCTGACAGGAGGAATCTGCTGGCAGGGGAGGGTTAAATATATTTTCTTTTAATAAATGTGTTTCCTTTCAACATCCCACAGCAAATTGATGGCAGGCAGAGAATGTCACTTGTCCATCTGATCTGCTTTAAGAAGCCAATTCAGCCTCCTCTGTGCATTCAGTGCCTCAAGTGGGGATAAATCCCATTTCCTCACACCCAGGGGGCTGAAAAGTGCCAGGAAAATTGGCCAGGCTGTGGCAGCCTTGCAAAAGAAAAAAAAAAATAAAAACCCTAAATAAATGGGAATTTCCTGTAGCTTTAATTTGACCCCAGGCAAAAAGGTCCCGGTGCTGGACCTGGGGCTGGGTCCCTTCTCGGCTGGGTGGCTCCAGAAGCTCCCAAATGTGGCAAAAAAGGTTTGAAGCTGCAGATACAGAGCCCAGGATCGTGTTTGGCCCCCTTTAAGTCACTCACAGTGTCCTCCTTAATGTCCTTGTTCCCATTTCCAACCACAGCCACCACTTGTCCATCTGATCTGCTTTAAGGAGCCAGTTCAGCCTCCTCTGTGCACTCAGTGCCTCAAGTGGGGATAAATTCCATTTCCTCACATCTGGGGGGGGGCTGAAAAGTGCCAGGAAAACTGGTCAGGCTGTGGCAGCCTTGCAAAAAAAACCCTAAATAAATGGGATTTTCCTGTAGCTTTAATTTGACCCCAGGCAAAGAGGTCCCAGTGCTGGATGTGGGGCTGGGTCCCTTCTCAGTTGGGTGGCTCCAGAAGCTCCCAAATGTGGCATAAAAAGGTCTGAAGCTGCAGATCCTGAGCCCAGGAATGTGCTTGACCTCCCCCCCCACCCCCCCCTCCCCGCAAGTCCCAGTATCCCTTGTCCAACCTCAGCTGTCACCACCAGAATTCTCTCTGCCCAGGATGCCTCTTTAGCTGCCACTTCCCTGGATTTTCCAAGATGGAAAACTCAGAGGTTTTGTTTGCCAACCCTACAAGCCCAGGAGGAGTTAGTGGTCAATCCCAGCCTCAGGTCTCAGGGAGCTTCCCAGCTGGGACTGCAAAATCCTGGACTCCGGGATCTTCCCAATGAACTTTCATCCTGACAATTGTTCCCAACCCCTTCAACCGCTGCTAAAATCCGTGGTTTTTTCCCCACTTTTTGGCAGGGGGCAGCAGGTCTGGATGGGCAGGATGGGAACAAGGGAGCCAAAGGTGACAGACGCCTCCAGGGGCTGAAGGGAAAGCCAGTGAGTGGCAGGAAGGGACTCTGTGCCCGCCTTCATCTCTCTTCCCACACCCCACCCCTCATTCCCACACCCCGTTCCCCAGAGTCAGGTGAGTCTTTCCTGCAGAGAAATCACTCCTTAATCTGCTGGAGGAGCCCCCAATGTGCTTCTTGGGCTGATTTTTGGGAGGATCATTCTCCGGTTCCCAGCAGACACCCTGTCCATGTCTCCAGACTTCTAAGTTATCCCATCTTTTCCAGTCTGAGTTTCTCTTGGTTTCTTGTCAAGGTCCAAATTTCAAGTTCCTCCACGTGCCAAGTGCTGCTCAGTGCTGAGTTGCCTGGTGGAGAAAGCAGGGAACGATGGAATCGTTCCCTACAAAGCCCTCCTGGGCCTCGTTTTCCTGGGACAAACTGGTCGGACATCTCCCTTGATCCCAAATAATTTGCTGCCCGTGGGTGGGACATTGGCACATAATTGCTAAAAATGCATCCTCAAAGGGATGCCTCGTGGGAGCAGGGCTTTGTTTTCTGGAGACAAACTGGATTCTGGAGGTTTTTCCTGCTTTGCTTTTCCATGAGACCAAAAAAAAAAAGAAAAAACAGTAGAAGATTTTTGGGAGGGAGGGAGCAGAAGAGGAAGACTTTTGGGAGGAAGTAATGAACTCCCCCTGGGTATTGCCCGGAGGGATACAGACTTGGAATAACAGTTCAGTTATTCCGGGGGCAGCGACCAACAGAAGAGCAGAGGGAGAACCTCGAACACCTCAGTGGTTGTGGTTGTTCCACCTCATTATCTCCCAGACCTCACTCAGGCCCTCAAGAGGCATTTCCCAAACTTCTCCCAGTGCTGACTCATCAGAGGATCCTTTCCCACTTCCCTACATCCCTGACCTCCTCCCAGGGCATTCCCAGCCCCCATTCCAGAGCTCGTTGCATTTCCAGCCCCCAAAACCACCCCGAGCCCCGAATTTCCAGCGAGTTTTTGGTGTTTGAAGGCACAACAAAAAAATGGAGAATTCCTCCCAAGTTATCCCCGCCCTTGGATCCTTCACCTCTCATTCCAAACATGGAATGGTTTTGTCCTGGTTTGTTGGGGTTTTTTTTTCCCCACATAGGGATGGAAAGGTGATCGTTGGACCACTGGTGACCCCGGGCAGAAAAGAGCAAAGGTGAGGAAGGAGGTGGGGGGGAGATCCTGTGGAATTCCGATCCTTGGAGAGATTCCAAAGCTTTCTGGGCGTGGTGCTGGTCAAACAGCTCCGAATTCCTCCCTCCTGCCCCTCTCCTTGATCCAACAGCCACCCCTGTGATGTCCTTTATCCTCAGGGATTCCGAGGACTCCTGGGACACACCGGCACTCCCAGAGCCAAAGGCACCAAGGTGAGCGAATCCCAGACTTCCCATCCTGCTCTAGCTTCCCAGTTCACTGGGGAAATATTGGAGCTGCATTTTCCCTGAGAACACCCTTTAATTCCTGTTTTGATCCCTGTTTTCTCTCTGCTCAGAAATAAGGGTGAAATTCTGGGTCACAAGGTCTTTGAGCTCCTACAGAAACTCTGATTTTTTTCTCCTTAAATCCCTTCTCTTCCCATTTCCTTCCCTATGTTTTGGTCAGCAAATCCTTCCTCCCTGGGCATTCCATCTCCCTGTTCACTGGAGGAAGTTTGGAGCTGCATTTTCCCTACTAACAACCTTTAATTCCTGTTTCAATTCCTCTTTTCTCCGTGCTGAGAAATGAGGGTGGAATTCTGGGCCACAAGGTCTTTGAGCTCCTACAGAAACTCTGATTTTCCCCTTTAAATCCCCTTTCTTCCCATTTCTTTTCCCTGTGTTTTGGTCAGCAAATCCTTCCTCCCTGGGCATTCCATTCATCCCTCATTCCATATCCCCATTGATTGGGGAAAGTTTGGAGCTCATTTTCCCTACTAACAACCTTTAATTCCTGTTTCAAGTCCTGTTTTCTCTGTGCTCAGAAATGAGTTTGGAATTCTGGGCCACCAGCTCTCTGCACTCCTACAGAAACCCTGATTTTTTCCCCCTGAAATCCCCTCTATTCCCATTTCTTTTCCCTGTGGTTTTGTGGCAAATCCTTCCTCCTTGGGCATTCCATTTCCTGTTCATTGGGGAAAGTTTGGAGCTGCATTTTGTCCAATAACAACCTTGGATCTCTGCCCTCCTATTGAAACTGATTTTTTCCCCCTTAAATCCCTTCTCTTCCCGTTCATCCCCAGGAAGAATCCCCCCCCTCTCCCAGCTCTGGGGGGAAAAATCCCTCTGGGAAGCACAGGAGGACCCAGCCACGAGGAGCAGGGGGACAGGGGATGGAGAGATTTTAAGGATTGCAGGGAACTTCGGGATAATCTGGGGCACAAAATAAACCAGGCCTCGCCTAAATTCCCTCCTGAGCGGCAGCTTAGCAACACCTGGGCTTGGTTTTAGCTTCTCATCAGCCCTTGCTCTGCAAACAAAGATAATGACCCTTAATGGGCTTTTTAGGCAGGGTTTCATAACATTTAATAAGAAATAAGGGAGCTGCTGGTAAACTGAGCCAGTGGGATGTGGGTTTATTGGTGTTGTGATTATTATTATTGTTGTTATTAATATTTTCCTGCATCAGCCTCGGTCTGCTGAGTGAGGGAAGTGTTGCCCGGGGAATTTCCCACCTCCTTGCCTGGAGCTGAGCTGGAGACAACCTAAAACTCCTAGTGATTTAAAATGATTGGAGTTAAATTGCTCTTAATTGGTTTTTCCACTGGCCCAATTAGTAAAATTAGACCTTAGTTAAATGTGGATCTAAAATTTACAGCCCAAATAAGAATTTGGATTTTCCAGTACTGGTGCTGTCATCAGGTTTGGCCCTCAATTATCCTTTTCCTTGCTTTTTTCAGAGCCAGTTTTCCCCCCAGTGTTTCGGGGCCTGTTTGTCCTCAGGGCCCATCTGCTTCTTTTCCATCTGCAGGGAGAAACGGGAAGTCCTGGAAAACGGGGGATCCCAGAATCCAATGGACAGCATGGACCGAAGGTGAGTGTCTGAACTGTGGGGTCACAGGGAGGATTGGGTGGGAAAGAACCTTAAAACTCACCCAGTTCCATAAATAAGAGGCTTCCCAAGAGCTCTGCAGGTGCCAAGTGTTTGTTCCCTTCTAAGGGCCCAAACTGGGTTATTTGGAATGTGTTCCCAGAAAACCAACGTGGAGATGTTTGGACACTGGGGAATGGGGGACTTTCCTCACCTCCACGAGTCAGGTTTTCCCATTCCACCCCCAAGTCCACCCCAGAGAACTGGAATTCAACCAGGGAATGGTTCTCAAGCGGCTTCATCCACCCCAGCCCTTGGTGCTCCACAGGGATCTGTTGGAATTCTGAAGGAATGGGGGTTTTTACTGGGATTTTTCCCCCTCTCCTTGAGTGCTGAGCTCACGCTCCCCCAACAACTCCGTAACCTGAAAACAAAACCAGGTCCCTCAGGAAATCCCAGGAAATGCCACGTTGTTATCCATGATGATTTCCCCTTTGGCTCCTTCCAGGGGGAATGGGGAGCAGCAGGGAAGGAGGGAGCCTCGGGAATTCCTGGGGACAAAGGAGCCAAGGTTCGTACTCCCCTCCCCTTTCCCCTCGAGCTGCCTTTTGGCAAAGGGTAAATAAATCCCACACCCCTCAGGTTGGGTTAACAAAATGACCCACCTGCTCCATCACAGTACCCTTTCCAGAGGGCAAAGGGTGACTGTTTGGAGCAGCAAAAGCTGGGAATGCCACTGGAAAGGACGGGAGAAGGGAGATCTCCTTAAATTCACCCTCTGTACAAAACCCCAGTGGGGAGGGAAAGGGGGGGATCCCACTTAGTGTGAGGAAAAACAGCCCCAACTTCCCCCAGCTGGGCTTTGCAGAGTTTATTCCCCCACCATTCCCAGGATTAAAGGGTTCCTGGGATGCCTCCTTGGCCGTGGAAGTGGCTCTAAAGCTCCTCCCTGAGGAGTCCCCACCTGGATCCCTCCCCCTCCCCTTCTCTGCATTGCTGGATTGTCCGTTTAAAAGGTTGAAATTGAAATTTAAAATTCTTTCAATTTAAAAGATGGTGACCAAAAAAAATTTGTCTTTTCCACGGGGGGAGAAAGGGGGGATTTTGGTTAAAAAAGTAACTGCTTTGGGGAAAAAAAAAAAAAAAAAAAAAGGAGAAAGGAAAACATCCAACAATCCCAGCAGGTTCCACCAAGGCATTTCCCAGCCCTTCAGACCCTTCCTGCATCCAGTTCCACCGCCCAGGGCAATTTGGGATCTCCAAGGAGTTGCTGCTTTTATTGACTTTTTTGAGGAAAATATCATTCCCTGTCCTTCTCCTTCCCAAAGAGCTCTGTTTCCCACCTTCCGAAGGAGGTTGGGGGTGGGGGGGTTGGGTTTTTTCCTTCTGCTGGGTGTCACGGGAGCATTTCCCCGTTCAGGATGGATTCCCGAGGGTGCAGATGAGCGGGGGGAATTTCCAGACCAGTGCTCTCTGTTTTTCCTGAGGTCACAGGCTAAAGTACTCTGTTTAGACATGCTGGGAGAGCTGGGAATTAGGAAATGGTCAAGGGGATCCTCCCAAGGGAGGGGGTGTCCAAAGCCAAAGTGTCCCTCCGTTCCCAAAGCCACGGGGTTGGGAACCCCCAAATTTGGGTGATGTTGGACTGGAACACCTCCAAACCCACGGGTGTTGGTGATCCCCAGGGAACCAAGGGAGTTCCTGAGCTGGGAGGCTTCAAGGAGCAGATGGGAGGGCCCGGGAAGCCTGGAATGTCCAGGGTGGATGGACCTCGAGGGCCCCGGGGAGAGCTGGACCACAGGTGAGACGGGTTGAGCCTGCCCTGACCCAGAGGCCAAACCCCCCAGCTGGGCCCCCACAGGGGTCCCCACATGGCCACATCTTCCTCCTCCTCCTCTCCCTCCTCCTCCTCTTCATCTTCTTCCTCCTCTTCCTCCTATTCCTCTTCTTCCTCCTATTCCTCTTCTTCCTCTTCCTCTTCTTCCTCTTCTTCTTCTTTCTCCTCTTCCTCTTCTTCCCCTTCTTCCTCCTCTTCCCCTTCTTCCTCCTCTTCCTCTTCTTTCTCCTATTCCTCTTCTTCCTCCTCTTCCTCTTATTCCTCTTCTTTCTCCTCTTCCTCTTCTTCCTCTTCCTCCTCTTCTTCCTCTTCCTCCTCTTCTTCCTCTTCCTCCACTTCCTCCTCCTCCTCTTCCTCCTCCCCCCAGCTCTCCCACATCCCCTCTTTCCCTGGGATCTCTCTCAGTTCGCTTCCTCCCTCCCTTCCTTTATCCCCGGAGATTTTCCCTCCCTTCTCTCCCTCCCTCTCCGTGCAGATATTTCGAGTGATAATTTCCAATCACCGGGACACCGAGTGCCTCCCCCCTCCGTGGCTGCCGCTGATTATCCGGGGGGTCAGGGGGTGCCAGGGCTCTGGAAGGAGCCGGTGGTGGGTGGGCCGCGTTTAACGAGCGTCTCTGCATTCAGGGCACGCCGGGAACCTTTGGAAAATGGAACAAAAAAGGCTTGGAAATGAGCTGTTAATGCGGTTTACCGGCGGGTTCACAGTCCCTCCCCCGGTTCTGTGGAAATGAGGTGATGCCCCAAACAACGGCGAGGGATTAATTCGACACCCACCCTTGAGACAGCAACCACTAAGTAATAAAAGACTTTTTCCAAGTGAGAGAGGGCTGGAAATTGAAGTTCTTTTAAAATTAAAGCTATTTTAATTTAAAAAAAACCAAAACAAATAAACAAACAAACAAAAACAAAAAAAGAGAGCACTCTCATTTGTGAGAGGCCAAATTTCAGGCTTGGACTAGAGAATACTTGAATTAACATGAAAGAACCAGGAGTCAAAGAAAAGCTGGAGCTGTTAACCCACAAGCCCTGCTTAACTCCTGCCAGCCCTACAGGAGTTGGGATTTTGGGAGTGCAGAGGTTGGGACAACTCAGCCCAGATTTTGTGGGAAAGTCTTAACAAGTCTGGACCTCTTTTAATCCACTCTCAAAGGCCTCCCTGTCCTGGAGGGCCTGGCAGGACCTTCTGATTTCTGGGGGGTACAGAGGGGTCTTTTTTAGCATTTATTGGTTGTCCAGCTGTTTTTTTTTCCCCCATCCAGGGAAGAGCATCAAATGCTGGGAAGGGCTGTGGGGTTTTAAGTCTTAGGGAATAAATGATCAAGGAAGGGAAAATGCAGGAAAGGCCCATGTTGGGTGGGGGGGCAAACTGAGCATGTGTAGTGTGAGACTCTGTCTAGGCTTGATCCACACCAATCCAAGGCTTGGCCCAGAGCCTAAACCCACACCTGAATCCCAGCTGGGATGACTAAAGGAAGAACTGCCCCCAAACCTGCCCCTAAAGGGGCCCAAAAGCCCTCCCAGAACCACAAAAACCAGGCCTGAAACCCTCCTCGGGGACAATAAGGACATTATTCCCCTTTCCCTCCCCATGCACCTGCAAGGAAAAACATACCAAAAGGATCCCAGAAGGGAGGAAGGAGCCAAAAAGACAAGAGTCCCATCAAGGATGTTCAAAAAAGGCTGGAAGTGGGGTGTTTTTTGGGGTTGCTAGCTCAGGAAAGTTGTGTCTGAGGTAATGGAGGGCTTTGCTTCGGAGCTGATTACAGACAGGCTACCTGGTGCCACTTCTCTCACTCTGCTCCTTGTCTTGTCCCCTAAATTAAAGGAGAAAGTCCCCCGGGGTGGAAAGTCCAGCGGAGAGGTCGCCCTCAGTGCCGGGGTGGGAGGGGATTGTCGTGTCTGGCTGAGGCTCCAGCTCTTAAATTTGTGATGGGAGAGAAAAGTGCCCCCTCCTCCTCCTGCCTGCACAGGGAACACCTCGGGGTGGCCCAGGACAAAAGGGCTTGGGAAAATCCCAGGGCACTGATCCCATCCCCTCCGGTCTGCCTGGGGAGCCCCCAAGATCCACAGGGCTTGGGGTGTCTTCCCAGGGAATCCTGGAGTGATTTGGGTTGGAGGGGACTTTGAAGGTTGTCCAGTTCTGACCCTCACACCTTCCACTGTTCCAGGTGTACACCCAAGGGTATCCAAGCTGGTCTTGGACACTCCCAGGGATCCAGGGGCAGCCACAGCTGCTCTGGGAAATCCAGTCCAGCCCCTCCCCACCCTCCCAGCCAGCAATTCCTTCCCAATATCCCATCTGTCCCTGCCCTCTGGCACTGGGAAGCCATTCCCTGTGTCCTGTCACTCCAAGCTCTTCTAAATATTCCCTTTCCACCTTTCTTGGCTCTCTTCAGGTCCTGGAAGGCCACAGTGAGGTCACTCCAAAGCCTTTTCCAACCTGAGTGTTCCCAATTCTCTCAAGCTTTTCCTCCCAGGGGATGTGTCTTCTCCTGCCACTGCCCAAATTGGGCTTTAAGGGGAAAATGCCCCCCAGAGCTGTGGGATAAAATCTGGAAGGGGCTTTGATTGAGCTCTCCTCTCCTTCTCCAGGGTCCTCCAGGGAGAAGAGGGAAGTGCCAGTTCTGCCTCAGGGCCCCCCCGGGCACAGATGGGCCAAAAGGAGCCGCAGTGAGTGTGGAATGAGCCAGCCCCAGCTCCCGGGGAGCTTCCCGAGCTCCCACAGCCTTGCAGAGCTCTGGATGAGCCCTGGATGCTCCAGGGGACAATTCCCAGCCCTCCAAATCCTGCAACAACAAAAGCAGGGACAGTGTTTCACACCCAAATACCAGGCACTGGATATGGGAATGATGCCTCCACTTCTCCAGCTGGGACAATCCTGGGAGTCCTGGGGAATGTTTTATATAAGATTTCCTTGTGCAAACTCCCTATTTTGGGCCAGCACATCCTCAGGAAAACCAGGAGAAACCCCTCGGTGCAGGGCAGCGTTTTCCACCTTTAAACGCCCGTGGGGGAACACAAACAAGAGCTTCTCCCCCTCCAGCCCCAAATCACAGCCCACGGTCGAGTCCCGCCCACTGTCTCACGGGATTTTGGGACCAGGAGGTGCCTTTACTTTGATTCCCTGTGCTGATGGAAGGTAATGTGATTTTCCCCCTCGTGTTCCAGCCGCGTGGATTGAGAAAAACGACCCTCTCGGCTCTCTAATTCGGCCCATCCTTCTTGTGCTCCCACTCCTTTAATATTCCTTTAAGTGTTTTTAATCAACAAATCCGGTTTTCAGCGGCTCTCAGCCCAGATTTGTCAGGGTGTTTTCTCCCGGGAGGCAGCTCCTCTGTTTTTAACCCCCTTAAAAAACAGAAAACAAACCTGATTAAGGCCGCAGCTCTTAAAATCTTTATTGTTTGAGTATAGCAGAGCTCCCAAAAAAATTCTGGGACGCTTCGCCCGGCTCTGATGGGTGCTTTTGTTCTTGTTTTCCTGCACGTGGATTAGCCTGTTCCTGTCTCCTCTGGGGCTTATTCGCAGCTATCCCTAAAATTTCTAGGGAATTCAGAGTGGGGAGTTTTTTTGCCCGTCTGCCGGGTCTGAGGTGGGAGCATTTAGCGGTGAATCCGCTGAGCTTTTGTGTTGATTGAAGTGTTTGGACCAGGGTGAAAACGACCCGGCCAGAGGGAAAGGAGAAAAGGGACATCCCGGGCTCTCGGTGAGTACTCCGGGCACCTCCCGAGGAGGGAAAACAGGCCAGGCTGCCCCCCTGAGAGGCCGAGGGGAGGCGGGAAATGCTGGGAAATGGTTTCATCCTGAGGAAATGCGGGAAATGAGGGCGCTGGTCGTGACGCGGGGACAGCGGGCTGGGGGTGGGAGCAAGTGCCAGGATGTCAGACCCGAAGGAGGATGGAGAGCCTGAGGCACGATTCCCTTCTCCCAGCCTCCAAATCCCGCTTGGCAGGTGGGATCGGGGCCACCAGGGCTGATCCAACACTAGGGAAGGGCAGGAGACAGGAATGTGTCCCCTTTTTAAAGCTAGCAGGGAAAAGCTGCTGCTCTGGGCTTGTCAATCCTGTAGGGAAAAGATCCACATGGATCAGGGGACAATCCCTGTTGCATCTCCCTGAAAAAGTGGGTCTCCATCCTGTTGGAAATGGGGTTTTGTGCCACTTGATTTATACTTCAAATTTTCCAGAGTGTGGAGGATTAATTTTAGCAGTTCCTGCTTGGCCCATGGGATCGGGGCCACCAGGGCTGATCCAACACTAGGGAAGGGCAGAAGACAGGAATGTGTCCCCTTTTTAAAGCCAGCAGGGAAAAGCTGCTGCTCTGGGCTTGTCAATCCTGTAGGGAAAAGATCCACATGGATCATTAATAAATCCCTGCTGGATCTCCCTTAAAATTTGGGTCTTTATCCTGTTGGAAATGGGGTTTTGTGCCACTTGATTTATACTTTAAATTTTCCAGAGTGTGGAAGATTACTTTTAGTCTGAGTGTTATGGGAAGGGGTGGCTTTCCATGAAAAGCCCTGAGTGGGAAATACCCTGAAATTTGGGATACTTCCAAAGGATCTGAGGTGACAACCACGTGAACTGCAGCAGGACACCAACCACCAGCCGTGGAAGATGCTCCCGGGAAACTGTGGCACTTGGCTGAGCCAGGACAGGCTCAAAATCCATAAGACAGATGTCTCATTCCATAGGGTATGCTGTTAGGCGGGAAAAGGTAAAGGAAGGATGAAATGAGGCACAGCTGCATCTCCTGGGGCAATCCCATGGGATCATCTGACCAGCCTTTTGGATGGATGAAGGTGGAGCTTCCCAGAGTTGGGGCATGTCTGAGGGACCTTGGATTCATGGATCATTCCAGAAGGGTGGGGATGCTCCTTGGAGAGCCAACCTTGAGGTGTGACCTGATCCTCATGCTGGGCTTGATCCCAGTCCCAGATCCCAGATGCCAGACCCCAGTTCCTCCAGGCAAGAGGAGCAGGAGGCAGGATGGCCCTGAATTTGCAGAGGGAATGAGCCCCACACCTGGAATTTTTTCCCAAATCCTATCCCAAGAGGTCCCTGTGGCACCAAAGGTGTCTCTGCCCTGAGCTGTTCCAGCAGAGGGGGGGCAACATTTGGGGACCCTGAGCAGAGGGAGATGGTGCCAGGGCCCAAAATCCCACTTTTAACCCCCCCTTGGCACAGGAGGAAGAGGTGAAGGAGGTGGTCAGGAGCGAGCTGAGAGGCAGATGTGGTGAGTTTGGCGCCTGCCAGCAGCTAAATTGGAGAGATTTGAGAGCTGGCACACGGCACACACGGCGAAATATCAACAGGTCAGCCCGGCAGCAGCGGGGGACGGCACGTGGGTCACCTCTCACATGGGTCACCTCTCACATGGGTCACCTCTCCGGCCTCACAAAGGAGGGTGGAATTCTGGGCCACCAGGTCTTTGAGCTCCTACTGAAACTCTGACTTTTTTTCCCCTTAAATTCCCTCTCTTCCCATTTCTTTCCCTGTGGTTTTGTTGCAAATCCTTCCTTCCTGGGCATTCCATTCATCCCTCATTCCACTTCCCCATTGATTGGGGAAAGTTTGGAGCTGCATTTTCCCCGATAACACCCTTTAATTCCTGTTTTTTTCCCTGCTTTTGTGGCACCCCTGGATCCACAGACCTGTCCTCCTCAAACCCACCATCAGACTGGAATCCCAGTGCCTGGAGATGCCAGGAAACACTGGGATGCGTTGAAGAGTGGCGTGAATAAAAGGATGTAAAAGGGGCCATGGAAGCGTTTGCTGCCCATGAAAATCGGGATTTGTTGGGAAAATCTTCTTTATGCACAGGGAAAAAACGCAGCAAACTGTGCCCTGTCTTTGTTGTCTTTGCAGATGGTGGAGCTGAGACGGGAATGGTGCTCCTGGAAAAGGGTAAGGCCGCTGAAATCCATGGGAATGAACAGTAAGTCGTGCAGGAGGGACCTTCCCCTGGCCCCAAAACTGCAAGTGAAAAGATGTTTTTAACAATGGAGGGAGGGGGGGTTCTGCTGTGATCCAGTGGAGAAAACGATGCTGGATCACCCAGTGGGATCCTGGATCATCAAATGGGATCTTGGATCAGCAGCTGCGACCCTGGATCACCCAGTGGGATCCTGGATCACCAAATGTGACCCTGGATCACCCAATGGGACCCTGAATCACCCAGGGGGACCCCGGATCAATTCCAATCTCAAGTCCTAAAAGCTTTTGGAGCTGAGGAGTGGAAATCCAACCAGAGGGGGATGAAAAGTTGTGGTGGCCACATGGACACAGCTCAGAGGGTCCTGTCCCAGATGGGGCAACATTCCAGCCCTTGGGAAGGGCTGCAGCAGCTCCAGGGGCAAAACAAGGTTATTCCAAGTTTCCTGCCCAGTTTGGGGACGCTGAGCTCAGATTTCCCTGGTTTGGGATAGAAAGATTCCCCTCGTCCCCAGTGTCCCAACTCCTCCTCCCCTTGGCCATTCCAGTGCAGGACCAGCCATGTCCCCTCTCCTGATGTCCGTGTTGGACGTCACAGGTTTGACCTCCCCCTCCTGTCGGGGCCGGATTTGGGAGCCTGGGCTTGACCTCCCCCTCCTGTCGGGGCCGCATTTGGGAGCCTGGGCGTTCTCAGACGTTCGGGGCCGCTCTGCCCGTTATGGCCCGGCGGCGCCAGCCAACAATCCCATTAAATCCCGCCGCCAATCGCATTAAATCGCGCCTCATAAATCCCCGAGCGCGGGGGGAGCCGCTTCCCAACGCTGACAGGGCTCCGTTATTGCCGCCTGATTACGATCGATCGCTGCCGGCTTTCCAGAGGCTCCCGAGCTTTTCCAAAGCTCCAGCCTGACGTTTATCTCCTCGCAAACAGCTCCCATTTCCCCCCACCCGGTCCCGGGGCTGTTTAACGCCATTAAGGTGTTTTTTTAATTGCTCCGTGACATTCTCGTTAAGAGGGACTCGTTATCCAGGGAAGGCTCCAGCTATCCCCGTTTAAATGGGGGTTAATTTGTTTGTGTGCCCTCATTAAGTGTGATTTCCATTCGCTCCCCACCCCCTTCCTCCCCCGATCCAGAGGCTGAGGAGACAACGGATCCCTGGGAGCAGGAGCAGCTCCAAGGAACCCGCAGTGAATTCCCAGGCGAGGGGAGGCGATTCCCCACCTGGGAAGGGCTTTTTTGGGCACTTCAGGAGCGAGGGAAGTGGCAACACGAGCTTAAAGCTCGGTTTAGGGCTCGGCTTAAAGCGGCCGGGTTCACCCAAGGAGGGTGTTCCCGATCCAGCCCCACCAGGAAAATCCACAAGGAGAGCCCTCCAGGCAGTTCCCCCAGTCCATCCCAACATCCCTCGCGGGATTCAGGGTTTAAATCCCCTCCTTCCAAAAGGTCAGAGCCCACCCGCTCACCCCTGGTGGGCACCGCGGGGGTGGGGCATGGAACAACTCCTGCTCATCCCGCTGGGAATGCGCTGCTGGATGCCCTCCTTGGTTCCCTGCTGCCCCTTCTGCTCTGCCAACCCCGTTTCTTTGGGATCAGGTGGGGCTGTGGATCCCCAATCAGTGGGTCCCCAAACAAACAGCGGGTCCCTAATCTGAGCCCCACACGTTTTCCTGGGAAAACAGGGCTGGCAGAGCGTTGTGGCCTTTTCCCGGCTGGATCCAAGAGGTGAGCGGGTTTTTTTTTTGGGGTGTTCTCCTGCAGCCTCCTGCTTGCAGCCATGGATGAGGGACCCTGCCAGGATTACTCCCTGCTCTGGTACTTCCACCATGAGGCAAAGGCCTGCAGGCCCTTCGTTTCTGGGGGGTGCCAAGGGAATGCGAGCGGAGCTGCGGAGCCCCAGCAGGTGAGGCAGCCCCTGAGCCCCCCCAGCCCTCCTCCAAACCCAGCCAGGAGGGAGGGAGAGGCAGGAAAACCCCTTCGTGACCGTCCCCACCATCCCACCCCCATCGCCTCAGCAGGATCAGGAGAAGACCCGGAGCGCTGTCCCCGATTTCCAAAGGTTTGTTGCCCCTCCCATTCCCAGCTGGCTTTGATCCCCTTCCAGGAGCTCCTGGATGTCCCCTCCCTTGGGTTGATTCTACTGGTGGCCCCGTGGGTGATGAGGAGGGTCTACCTGGGGTGCTTTGTCCTGTCTGAGGGTGGAATTTTGCAGGAATTTGGGGAGTGGTGCCGTCTGAACCGCTCCATCCAACCACCTCCTTTGGCATCTCCAGCCACCAAGGTGTCCAAGCCTGCTCCAGACCAGCTTGTGAGCAGTCCCAAAGTGTCGGAATCCCACCTGATCCAGGGCTTTCATGGGAAAAACTCCCTCCTGGAAGCACGGCTGGGCTTCCATCGCCAGATATCCAGATTTGTGTGGATTTTCCATCGCCTCCAGGGGGAAAACGGGCCCTGGCAGTGAGTCAGACTCTCTGTTGCCCAAGCTCTGGTTCAAACCAGCCTTCCTAGAAAGATGTTTCCCCTCAGACCTTCCTGGGCATGGAGACAACTCCTCTGGGAACCAGGAAAAAAAAAAAGTATTTGTTCTCCAGAACCCATTCCCAAAAAAACCCCAGGGGAGGGGATTTGGAGGTCCTATTAAAAAAAAAAAGAGAGAGGAAAAAAAAAAAAAAAAAGATGAAGATCCACAATTCCAGGTTGGTTTCAGGAACTCTTTGGCTGGTTTAATAGGTGGGCACCTGTTTAATCCGAAAATGAAGCCCAGGGATGTTTCTCACCCCCTGGAATCTTTCTGAGGTGCAAAGGGCTCCTCACAGCCAAACATTCCTGACCTGGAAGGAACAAGGCAGAGACAGTATTCCAGCCTGGTTTAGGTCATCCTGGAAAGCTCAGGTGGTCTCTGGGAAGGGCTGTTCTGGTCAGGAAGGAGGGATTTGCTGCCCCAGTGACTCCAGCCCAAACTGGAGGCTTGGGATTGCTCCATGGAGTTCCCATCCTCGTTGACCAGCAGTGCACCAGTTTAGTGGTCAGTGCCCACACTTATGGAGAGGGAAAACCACTCCCCAGTGCTTCAAATCCAGCAGCAGGTAAGGAATGAAGCTCCTCCCAGGTGTGGATTATCCCAGGGAATGGCCCTGGGAGATGCAGCTGGAGGTGCCTCCAGCACTGTCTTCATTCCCTCTGTGGGGATTCATCCAAACCCAACAATCCACATGCCCTCTGCACACCCCTTTCTCCGGGCTGACCCCCCCAAAATGGTGCCAGGATTGGGATCCTCTGATCCATATTTGCCTTACGGATGTCGGATGTGCCGGGACAGCACCTGGCACGGGCAATCCCGGGAGGTCGGGGACCTCCTGAGCCCAAATAATCAGCCACATCTCGACATTCCCTTAGTTTCCCCTTCCCTCTCTTCCCCAAAACCAGGCAGAGGGAGCTGAGCAGCTGCAATTCCCTCCTTCAAACCCAAGAAAAATGGAGCTGGGAGGAAGTTTTCTTCAGGAATGCCTCGGACACCCGGGACAAGCAAGACAAACCTTTGGACATGAAAAGGGAGATGAGGAGAGGGAGACACCTGGTCCAAAGGCTTCACGACTTCATCCCAGGGGATTGGAAGGTGGGAAAAAAAACCAAACAACCCCTGAGTGTATTTTTGTATAATAAAAGTGTGTTGGTGCTTGTGGAATTCCTGGATCGTTCCCCTGGGAAAAGGAAATCTCGGGAAAGCCCCAGAGAAAGGTAGGAATATCTCTGACCATTTTCCCTGGAAGGGATAAGAGGATCCATCCCAAAATGTGCAACAGGAGAAAAAAAAACAGGATTCAAAACTCAAGGGTTGGTTCAAAATTCCACCCCGAGGTTTTTGGAGCTGAGGAGTGGAAATCCAACCAGAGGGGGATGCTCAGTTTGGGTGGCCACATGGACACAGCTCAGAGGGTCCTGTCCTAGATGGGGCAACATTCCAGCCCTTGGGAAGGGCTGCAGCAGCTTCAGTGGCAAAACAGGGGGTTATTACAGGTTTCCCACACAATCTGGGGACATTGAGCTCAGATTTCCCCAGTTTTGGGGTTGTCTCATTCCCTTTATTTGCAATATCCCAGGCATTGGAGGAGAGAGCAGCAGAGATTTGAGGACTTTTATTCCCCTTGCTGGAAACTCTTTTTTACTTAAAAAAACCCCCAAACCAAACGAAAATGGGATTTTGTAAACGTTGGCAATGAGCCGAGTGCCATCTCCAGGGTGACAATTCCAGCCTCTCCTCCCGAAATGACTCTGCTGTGCCAGCAAAACATTCCCTGGGGGGGAAGGGAACGGGATGTTCCTGACGAGCCAAACAGCAGGGAGGGATTGTGCCTTTCCAGGGGGACCTCACAGCATCCCAAGAAATGAGGGATTCCCTGAGGAATTTCATAGAATCCTAAAGGTCGATCCTGTGGGACCTCTGTGGCTTTTGGGGAGTTTGAGGGGGTTTCCCCCATGACACACAATGTCCTTCCCCCTCCTCCTCAAAGTGCCAACATTGGGAAGAATTTTCCCAAAATCTCAACCTTCCAGGCCTTTCCCTGCTGGAATGGGAGGAGAAAATCCCCCCAAAAATAAAACTGGCAAAGCAGGCAGCGAGGGCACAGCAGGGGTTTTGAGTGCTGTGGGGTTTGAGTGCTGCCCTAGAGCCAAAACCCAGCCCCACTCTTGGAATAAACCCACAATAACTGGGAAAAACACCGTTAATCAAGGCTGAACCCCCCCCCCCGGCACCTTTAGATACGTAATTTAAAATATCCATTTAAAACATCAACTTAAAATATCCCTGCCCCAAACAGGGGGGATGCGGGGAGAGGTGCCTATGGGACACACATTGTCCTTCCTGGAACCAAAACACAGCCCCACTCTTGGAATAAACCCACAATAATTAGGAATAACGCCATTAATCAAGGCTGAACCCCTCCCAAGGGCATCTTTAGATCCATAATTTAAAACATCATCTTAAAATATTCCTGCCCCAAGCAGCAGAGAAGGGGGAGAGGTGCCTGTGGGACACACACTGTCCTTCCCACTCCTCCTCAAAGTGCTAACATTGGGAAGAATTTTCCCCAAATTTCAACTTTCCAGGCTGGAATGGGAGGACAACCTCCCCTCCCCTCCAAAAAAAACCCTGGGAAAACAGGCAGAGAGGGCACAGCAGGGCCCTGCTGTGGGGTTTGAGCCCAAAATCAGGAGCCAAAACCCCAGCCCCACGCTTGGAATAAACCCACAATAATTGGGAATAACGCCGTTAATCAAGGCTGAACCCCCCCCCCGGCACCTTTAGATCCATAATTTAAAATAACATCAGCTTAAAATATCCCTGCCCCAAGCAGGAGAGCAGGGGGAGCGGTGCCTGTGCGTGATCCCACAGCGTCGGGCGCTGACGACAGCCCCGAATTTGGGTGGCTCTCCCCACGCTGAGGGCTCAGACGTCTTTCCCTCCCCTTTTCCCGTTTTTCCCCCGTGGATGGGGAGAGGCTCCCCAGGCCCGTGACGTCTTCAGCTGCCCGTGATGTCACCCTAATGAAATCATGCCCCGGACCGACGGCTCCGCGTCGGGAATTGCGACTCCTGACCCCTTGATCCCGCTTTTTTTTATATATATTTATATATATATATATTCAGGGGGGCAGAGGGAAAGTGCGTTTCCAGGGAGAGGGGGAAACTATCCCAGCCCTCTCCGAGGGACCATAAAATCCACTCCAGGGCAGCACAAGTTCAAGGGAAGGGAAGGCACCTGATGCTTGTTTTTTCCTGGGAGTGAGACCGCGGCAAGTCCTTCCCGTCCCGTCCCGTCCCGTCCCATCCCGAGCGCCCAGGACGACCAGGTGAGTTCCTTGGATTTCATTCCTGCTCCGCGCTCAGACCCAGCTTGAAAGATCGCAGCTGCTTCCCTTTGGGAAGAGAAGCTGCCAGGTTTTCCCTGGCCCACGGCGGATGGGGGGGGATAAAAGGAGCAGGGAAGGGAGGGTCCGTTCAAGGCGTTAAAAAAGGTATTAAAAATTCCTCTTCAAGATCTCGTGGCGTCATATTAAAATATCCCACTCTCCCTTCCCTCTTAAGCGAAGGAACAGGTCATTATTTTAATTAGTGCAGGAATTTTTTGGAGGCAAATCAGGCTGAGAAACTTGGGAAGGGTCGGGAAATCTTGGCGGGAGGGAGGAGGAGACAAACCACGGCTGTCACCGAAGGGACGGCGGGGAGAGATCCCAGTCGGAATTTTGGAGCCCCGGCAACCAGCATCGCCAGGGGAGACTTCTTAGGGAAGTGGGATCGGGCAGAGAGAGTTTAAAAACTCTCCAGGTCTCACCCGCAGGGCTGTTTTATCCCAGACTTACTTTCCGGCAGGGAAAAATCCTCTCGATCCGGGCGGTTCCGCCGCGGAGGAGCCCGTGGCAACCAGCACATCCTTCATCCCGCTCTGCCGGGGCAGGTGGATTTTCCTCCCCTCTAAAGCCCAGAGGCGGATTTTCGGCGCCTCCTCGATGCCATTCCCGTAGAATTCCCACAGCTCTCCGGGCAATAATTCCCAGCGGCAGGAAGGGGGTCGGCTCCCCCCACGGCCGCGGCAGATTGAACTCCCATTTCCTCGCATCCACCGCGGGGGTTTTTTCTTCTTTCCATGCCTTCTTTTTTTTTTTTTTTTTTTCTTTTTTAACAGGGAGGAAGCCCCGAATCCAGCTTCTTCCCTGGTCCATAAAAACTTTCGGGGCACAAAAATAAACCCCAAATTCCAAACATCGGCATTTGCTGGTGGCCAGAGCGGCCAAACGCTGCTTTTCCTGGATTTTTTTTTTTTTTTTTTTTTTGCCCCTTTTTGCCAGGGTTTCCAGCCCTGGCCAGGAAAGCATGAGCTGGGTGTGGATGGTTGTGTTTCCAACCCCCCCCCGCCCCGCTCCTGGCTCAGCTGAGGTTCCCGAGGAGTGGAAAAGCCCGAGGAACCTCAGGGACGAGCAACAGGTTTCAGTCAGGGAGAGGAGAGGGGGAGAAGCTGCTCTGAGAGCCGGAGACGCCTTAGGAGCAGCTCAGTCCTCTCCCAGGAGCTGTTCAGCTGCCTGGCATTGCCGTTCCCCAGCCGGCAACATCACACAGTGTCCCCAGGACAGCGGGAAAAATCAGCAGTTCCTAAATTCCTGCCCCGTCTTGCAGGAAGGAGCTCGAAAGGTTCCCCGGGGAGGGCGACGCTTCCCTTGGGAATGAAAATCAGCTGTGAGGGGGACAGGTTTTGGGGTGGGGGAAAAGATCTTTGCAAGAAAAACCTCAGTCCCGGCACGTCCTGATGTCAAAGTGCCCAGCTGGCTGGTTTGGGGCTGAAGGAGGGAGGGATTCAGGTCCTAAATTGCCTCCTCCAGGTGGGGGGTTGTGTGTCTGGGGAAGGGTTTTCCTGCCCCATCGGGAATCTCCAGCTCTGGGGGTGCTGCCTGGGTGGATCCAGGTGGGTTTTTTCCACTCTCATCTGGACGCAGGGAAGGGTTAAAAGGGATGGGTGTTGCCTAGGGAGCTCTGCGGAGGTTTGGGAGGCAAAGAAGTGGCAATCAAGCAGCTCCCTCGAATCCCGCCTGTTTGGCCTGCCCCAAATCGCTCCCCTCAAGGGGTGGGGGAGGGCAGAGTCCGGGGGGGGAACGTGCCCAAAATTCCCACTCGGAGGGACAGCAAAGGGCAGAGTTAAGGGGATAAACCTGTCCTGGTTCCACCCTCCAGGACATGGAAAAGGGTGGAGTTGAGGGGATAAATCTGCCCAAATCTCCCCCTCCGAGCACAGTGAAGGGCAGAGTTAAGGGCATAAATCTGCCCAAAATTCCCCCAATGAGGGAAAACAAAGGGCAGAATCAAGGGGATAAACCTGCCCTGGTTCCACCCTCCAGGACATGGCAAAGGGTGGAGTTGAGGGGATGGATAAACCCGCCCCAATTTCACCCTTTTCATGGACAGTAAAAGGCAGTCTTTTAAGGGGATAAACCTTTCCTGGTTCTACCCTCCAGGACGTGGCAAAAGGTGGAGTTAAGGGGATAAAACCGCCCAAATCTCCCCCTCTACGGACAGCAAAGGGCAGAGTCAAGGGGATAAACCTGTCCTGATTCCACTCTCCAAGACATGGCAAAGGGTGGAGTTAAGGGAATAAACCTGCCCAAAATTCCTCCTCCAAGACAAAGGGCAGAGTTCAGAGGATAAAACTTCCCAACCCACCCCTCCCTCCCGTTCCACGGACAGGGAGGTCCAGAGTTCAGGTGACAGCCGTTTCAAGGGAGGGCGATGAAATCCCCGCATCCCTGGGGACGGTCCCGCAATCCCTGGGGACCATCCCGCAATCCCTGGGGACCGTCCCGCAATCCCTGGGGACCATCCCGCAATCCCTGGGGACCGTCCCGCATCCCTGGGGAGGGTCCCGTAGTCCGGAACTGCCGCGCCACGTCCTTTGCCACAAGATGGGGCCCGAAGATCGGGAATGCCGGCAGCTTCCAGGCGCTTGGAGCGCCCACGTGCCGCCTGGGGACAGCGTTCCATCCCGAACACGGGCGAAGACCCCACCCACCCACACCCACAGCAGGAGATCCCTTGTGGAGTTTCAGGGGCCCTTCGGAGCGCTCGGGTGGGAGACACCGGGAGATGAGGCGCTTCCCGGAGAGACGGGGAGGTTTGCAGAGCAAAGGGGGGTTATCCAGGGATTTACAGCCCCTGCCAAGGCCCCCCACAATGAGCGTGTTTCAGGCGGGAATCGAGGCGGCAGTGCCGGGGCTTTGGAAGTGCCACCCCCCCTCCACCCCCGGGTGCCAAAGCAGGTGGGCCTGGGAATGGGATACGGGACACCCCTGGAACACCCCAGGCCAGGGCTGGAGAGGAGACACAGGGCTGGTGACAGACCCCCTCTCCCACTCCGGCCTGGGCTGTGCCCTACTCGCCACGTCCTTTTTTTTGGAGCGAGTTGGGCGAGCGAGAAAACAGATAATTCCAGCCTTGGAAGAGCCCACCACCATCTCCGGTGGCTTCGGGCGGAGCAGAAAGGGGCTGAGAGTTTGGAAAGCCACCTCTCCAGAAGCTCGTGGTCCCCCCACGGTTACCCCGAGGAGGTGGGAAGGGCCCCACAAGGGGACGACAACGGGAATTCCCTGGACAGGGAGTGCCCGCGGCAGGAACCGGTTCCGCTGCTGCAGGACGTGCTCAGAGCCCGCCCTGCACGGGGACAGGGGGGACATAGGAGGGACAGGGCGAGACAGGGGGACGTGTAGAGGGACACGGGAACATAGGGAGAGGAGGTCGGGGGGACAGGGGAACACGGGGACAGGGAGGACACGGGATGGGGGGATACACGGGACGGGGGGATGGAGGGACGGGAACGTGTGGAGGGACAGGGGAACATGGGGACAGCAGGGGCACAGGGGATGGAGGGACATAGGGGACAGGGGGGACACGGGAATACACGGAGAGGGGGAAGGGGGGACAGGGGAACATGGGGACGGGGGGACACGGGACAGGGGGACATAGGGGACGGGGGGACAAAGGGGAGATGAGGACGTGTGGGGGGACACGGGAACACAGGAAGAGGGGGGACAGGGGAACATGGGGACAGGGAGACACGGGATGAGGGGACAGGAGGGGACAGGGGGACGTGTAGGAGGACACGGAAACACAGGGAGAGGGGGTTGGGGGGACAGGGGAACACAGGGACAAGGAGGACACAGGGAATGGAGGGACACAGGGGACAGGGGGACATAGGGAGGACATGGGACAGATGGGACACAGGGGACAGGAGGGACACAGGGGACACGGGGATAAGGGGGACACGGAACGGGGGGATGGAGGGACAGGGCGACAGGAGGGGACAGAGGAAGGTGTAGTGGGACAGGGGAACATGGGGACACGGGATGGGGGACACGGGATGGGGGATACAGGGGACAGGAAGGGACAGGAGGGACGTGGGGGACACGGGACAGGGGGCACATGGGAAAGGGGGACACAGGGGACAGGAGGGGATGGGGGGAACACAGGGGACGGGGAGGACACAGGGGATAGGAGGGGATGTAAGGACACAGGAGACAGGGGCACATGGAGGGGACAGGCGGGACAAGGGGGACATGGGACAGGAGGGACACGGGACGGGGAGGCACACGGGAGACACAGGGACAGCGGGGACACAGGGGATGGGGGGGACACAAGGGTCAGGGGACAGGAGGGGCACGGGACAGGGGGACACGAGGGACATGGGACAGGACGGGACAGGGGTGACGGGAACACAGAGATATGGGGGGATATGGGGGACATATAGGGGGACATGAGGGACAAACGGGTGGACAGGGAGACGTGGGGAACATGTGTGGGGACACGGGGAGGACACAGAACACAGGGAGAGGGGGACGGGGGCACAGGGGAACATGGGGACACAGGGACAGTGGGATGGGAAGGGGAGGGGACGTGGGAACACGGTGGGGACAAGGGGACACGAGGCCAGGCAGGGCATGACGGGGCTCCCAGCCCAGGTGGGACGATGGGGATGCCATGTCCCTCTGGGCCCTCCCTGGGGGTCTCCCCCACCCCGGGATGTCCCTCTGGGCCCGGACCAGGCATGTCCTCAGCCCCTACAACGCTGAGACCCCAGGGCAGCTCATCGGAGGGGGAGGAGACCCCAAGGCAGCTCATTCCCACCTGTCCTAACCGTGGGATGGGACCTGGGAAGTGAATCCTGGCATGGGAGCTTAGGGAATGAGGGAGGAGGAGCAGAGGATGGATCTCTGCCCCAGATCCCGTGGGAAGCTCGTGTCCTTCTCTGCCCTCTCCTGGGTGTCTCCCCCATCCAGCTACAACGCTCACCTCTCCCTCCACCGCACTGAGACCCCAGGGAAGCTCATTCCCACCTGTCCTAACCTTGGGATGGGACCTGGGTGGACACTTGGAAGCTGAACCCTGGGCTGGGAGCTTGGGGAATGGGGGAGGAGGAGCAGAGGATGGATCTCTGCCCCAGATCCCGTGGGAAGCTCACATCGCCGGGTGATGTCTCCCCCAGGGCAAGATGTCCCAGCCCAGGCTGCTGCTGCTCCTGCTGCTGCTCTGCGCCGAGAGCAGCCGCGCTCTCAGCCTCTCCAACGCCGCCTCCCTCCTCAGCTGCCTCCACTCGGCCTTGCCCGAGGCCCGGGAGGAGCTCCCGCAGGAAAACGCCGTCCTGGACAAGCGCGGCTTCAGCTTCCAGCCCCGGGAGGTGCCCGAGGAGGAGCGGGAAGGGGCCGGGGAGCCGGAGGAGGAGCTCGGGAAAAGGACATTCCCGGGGCAGGGCCACTACAAGTACGTGTCCCAGGCGCAGGGGAAGGGCAAGACGTCCCAGAACCGGGCCAAGAGCGACCGGCGCGCCAAGGTCACCCTGTCCCTCGACGTGCCCACCAACATCATGAACATCCTCTTCAACATCGCCAAGGCCAAGAACTTGCGGGCCAAGGCGGCGGCCAACGCCCACCTGATGGCCCAGATCGGCAGGAGGAAGTGACACCCCTGGGGCCAGGGGGGAGCTCCGGGCAGTGCTGGGCCTGTGGGGTCAGCCCCCGGCCCCGACCCGCGGCCAGGGGGGACTGATGGCCACGTGCTGGGTGTTTTTGAGCCATCCAGCCGCCCTCAGTTTCGTATCTCCTGCTCCTCCTCCCCCTCCTTCCCCCGAGCTCCATCACTCCCGGACATTCCCACGCCCAGGAAAGAGGCTCCAGCCCCGGGCAGGGCACAAGGGATGGGTTACCCGGGAAGGGTCCTAATTAAAGCTGTGCTCTCTTGACTTTCCAGTGGGTTCTCCCATCGATTTGTTCTCCCATTGATTTGTTCCCCCCAGTTTGTTCTCCCTCCAGTTTGTTCTGCCACCAATTTGTTCTCCTCCCAGTTTGTTCTCCCACCTCCTGCACCTGCTGCTCCACGGGGTCCATCTGGGCCCTGTAGGGTTTCCAAAGCCTCATGGCCCCATCCCCACCACGGTCCAGACCCTTCTCCCTCCCAAATCCACAAATCCCTACACAGTTCCCTGGGAAGGGAAAAGCAGGAGTGGTCAGGAAAGCTCAGGAGGGATTTCCCAGTTTCTCCTTCAGGGATTCCCTGTGGTTTAAGGTTGTTTTGCATCTCCCCCTTTCCCACTCCAGCACCTTCAGCATCAACCTCCCCACCCATATCCTTATTCCAGCCTGGCTGCAGATCCCACACCCCTATTCCAGCCTGGCTGCAGATTCCACACCCCTATTCCAGCCTGGCTGCAGATCCCACACCTCTATTCCAGCCTGGCTGCAGATCCCACATCCCTATTCCAGCCTTTTAGTTCCAGCCTGGCTGCAGATCCCACATCCCTGCCAGCCCCTTTCCTGGGATGACTCCCTGAGTGGGGAGTCCCGGTGGAGGAATAACCTCCTGCAGTCCAGGGGACCCAAGAAGGTCCAGTTAAATCCCCTTTTTCCAACTCAGAAGCAGTTTCCAGGAATTCTGGCACTGTGTCTGGGGGGCAGTCACAGAGCAGCAGGAGGGAGGGGGGAGGTTTATTAGGGAGACAGGGAGTTAAGACTGACCCTGGGCTCGGCTTTAGGGGAGGCTGAGACTGCCAAAGTCTGTGAATTCTCCTCTCAGCTCCAGCTGAACTTCCAGGCAGGGCCAGCCCCAGCAGCAGGACACGGATGGCTTTAGCAGGAGCGGCAGGAGGGCCAACTGTGTCCTGCTGACTGAAGAATCGCTGGAAAAGCTGTTGGAAAAGTCGGATTGAGGACAAAAGCGAAAGCGTGACAGAGCTCCCTGGCGAGGTTCGCTCCCTAGGAGGTCGAAGCACAGAGAAAAAGCAAATTCAAACCTCAATTCAAGCTAATCTGAAGCTCAAACCAGCCCAAAATTTGCCGTGGGGAGGTTGGGGGTGGAAAAGAGGAGAAAACACGGGAGGATCTCCCGTTGAGTCACGAGGCTCATTGTGGACCCCTAGGCTTGACCACCAGCTTAGAACTAAAGGTTTGAGCAGCACTTAAACTCACCAGCACTTAATCCACAGCCTAACTTAGGCCATATAACAAAATCCTGTCTAACTGACCATTGGCACAGCAGGAACTCGCTCCTAGGCCTGGCTTAACTATGGGTCTAACACGCTAAGGAACGGGCTGGAATGACGTGATGGGAACACGGATACTGCAGGCTGGGCTTTCTTTTAGGACCAGCTTTGCTGTTCCAGCACAAAATAAAGCTATTCCAGGGGAAAATAAACATGAGGGAGGGAGGCAGGAAGAAGGAAAGAAAGATGGAAGGAAGGAAAGAAGGAAGGAAAGAGTGCAGGGGTGGGATCAGTCATCCCTGTGGGTCCCTCCCAGCTCAGGATATTCCATAATTCCCAGTGCTTTCCTCCAACCTTAACGTCCAACCTACCAGAGCTGCCTTTAAAGGGGCTGCCAAGTGAAGCTTAGCATCGAATTTTAGAAGAATCACGTCAGCACAGGGGCTTAATTGGAGTTAATTGATTCGACTGAGGGACGCACTGAGTTCATCCCACACAGGCACATCCCATTGTCCTTGGATTTTTGATGTTTGTCAGCTCTCTGGGTACCACAGAACTCAAGAGAGGCCAAAGATGACAAGGTGGAAGGTGTAAGGAGTGAGGACAGAGGAGCAGAGTGACCTGGATCATCCAAATTAACCTGCTGGATTTTTTAATCTATAAAAGAATCCATTTTCCACAACATACAACAGCTGGGAATTGCATCCCTGGAACAGCTCAGGTACCTCTGGGCCTCCTGGAATTGCTGTGAAACCTTCCATGAGTTGATTGTATCCCTTGGCATTGATTGTGTCCCCTTGGCAGAGTTCCTGTCCTGGCTGTGAACCACCTTATTACCCACCCAAACCCTTGCTGGCTCCCTGGAACATATTCCATCTTCCATTTAGTTTTATTGAACTTATTTTCTCGTTGTTTGGTGGGTTGGTTTTTTTTTTCTAGATGAAAACACAAGGCAGGAGGTGTTTTGTTTGGTTGGTTTTTAAATGGCTCTAAATACTGATGGTGTCACACCCCTAATCAATTTGTGGCCCCAGGTTTTACCACGTCTGAGCTGCCTGGAATCCTCCACATTCCCGTTTTTCCCAGCAATGCAGGGGCTTTAAATGAGCAACAGTGGCCAAGTGTAGAAAACCCCACAAGATGACTTGACCTTTTGAGCCCTGAAAGAGCTCAGTGTCACTGAGCTGGGCTTTCATCCTGGCCTAATTAAGTCTGCTGGCTGGAGAAGTACAAGTCTTTAATGTGTGTTACTAATCCCCTACTTAATCCTAACAGTTTTTCCAGCAGGGAATGGTCCTAACAAGGGGGATGTTTAAGTCAGTGGAGTCTCTTCTGCTCCTTGCTGAGAGAGAGGAGAGGAGAAAGCCCAGAGGGCAAAAGGCCTCCCCAAAGCAAAATCTTTCCCTGGAGGAGGGAGCAAAGCTGGGAATGCCCTGGGATGTCTGGGGGGGGGTGGGGGTGGGGAGAGAAGGGGGGGAGAATGTGTGAGAGGAAGATCCAAGTTCAGGAAGGATTTGCCTGTGCAGCCTCTGGCTCCTGTGATGAAAGGAAATCCTCCCTTTCTGCAGGGAATGGGAACTGGGGGAAGGGTTTGAGATCCTCCGAACACAAAGAAGCCAGTGAAAAAGACCTCTAAGATCAAGTCCCATCATCGACCCACACCACTACCATTAAATCATGTCCTCACGTGCCACATCCACATTTTTGGAGCACTTCCAGGGATGGTGAGTGATTGACAACCCTTTCCATGACAATTTTTTCCCTAATATCCAAACCCAACCTCCAAGCTTAAGGCAGTTTCCTCTCATCTTGTCATTTCTTGCCCTCTCACCTGTCACCTTGTTCCTCTCACAGCTTGTCCTGGTTTGTCTCTTCCCTGGTCTGAAGGGGACAAGACAAGGGGGAATGGGTTCAGATTGAAAGAGAGTAGGGACAGATGGGATATTGGGAAGGAATTGCTGGCTGGGAGGGTGGGGAGGGGCTGGACTGGATTTCCCAGAGAAGCTGTGGCTGCCCCTGGATCCCTGGAAGTGTCCAAGGGCAGGCTGGAGCAACCTGGGATCGTGGAAAGTGGCTCTGCCCATGGGAGGGGGTGGAATTAAATGATCTTTAAGGCCCCTTCCAACCCAAACCTGTGATTCCACGACTGCACCTGCTGCTGCTGGGGTGGTGTCTCTCTCCCTTCAGTGTGGACTTCAGTGTGTTCCTCCACACACCTGATGATCCCATTCTTGGACCTGCTTTGCCCTCCTGACCTGTAAAAGGATGATTTCAGCAGACAAGGCCTGTCACAAACTACCTCTCGGATCACCAGAGCCTCTGCTCAGCCCTCCAACTGGATGGAAAAGCCATTCCATAAGTCCATAAATCCACGGCTCACTGCCTGCTGCAGGGGCAGGGGGGGGATAGACAGAGCTCAGGGGAGCAGCTGAATGCAAAGAACAGGAGGGTTTGAAACTGGAAACTTCTCAACACCAGGAGGACACAGCGGTGTCTGGCTGCTCCACACACCAGCCAAGCGGGGAAGGAGGGAGGAGGCAGCTGTGGAGAAGGACTGGAATGAAATAAAGGGATTTGGCTGGTGGAGGTGAAGTGAATGAATGTCCATCAGTGACCACAAGCCAATGTAAATGAAATTCCAAACGAGGAATGACACAACTCGCTGAACTGTTTAGGTTTGAACCAAAATAGCAACGTCACACTTTTGTCTCATTAAGTCTGCCTTGGAATAAGATAAGCAGAATTAATTCCCTCACTTTTGGCACAGTATCAGTGCTGGGTGTGACTCCTTTGGCTTTAAAGGAGTCACAAAAAAACCTTTAAATCCCGGGCTCACCTCTGGTTACATGAAACCTTCTGGCAGCTTGAAGAGGGGGCTCTGCATCGAGCTGCAGGTTCCACTTCAACAGCTAAACCTGCGGGTTTGGTGTCCCTGAAGAATCCATTTCTAATCCCTTACTGAAACCCAGTCAAGAAAGAGAAATTCCTCCTGCACACGTGGGGGGTTTTTAATGAGTCTCAAGTAATTGCATCCAAATGCTGCACAGAAATTGAGATCAACCTGCCACTCAGATGGACGTGATCAAGCGTAAAAGGCCCTTGAAGCACTGCTGTCTGGGGTGTAAGTGTTGGTAAAGGGAGAAGTTTTTGCCCAAACTGTCTGAGCTAAAGGCAGATTTGTGCTTTGGAGGAGATATTTTTGATTTATGAGTGATGGTAATCCCCTCTCTATTATAGGGATTGTTTGGGGGTGTCACCCCGTGAGCGGAAAGACACCAACCCTCGTGGGGAGAGACCCCATCCCTGCCACCACAGCCACTTTCCCCACAGGAGAAAGGCTGAAACAGGGGAAAATCCAAATCTCACCCAAGTGGGACACAATTCCAGCTGATCCCCTCACCTGAGCATGTCTTAACTTTCACCCAGAGCCTTTTTGGAAGCACCACTTAACCAAGCCCGCCATGGGAACCATGAGGGCTCCTGATGGCTTTTCAAGGCAGCATTTCGGGATTTGCTGGCCAGGCCAACGTGTGTCTGGCCAAGGTATCTGCTTTTTTTTTATTATTTTCTTTTCCCCCAGCATTATTCCAGAGCCAGAGACCTCGCTGCAAATGGGTTTATGCCAGGCCACAGCTCAGGGATGAGGGATCACCGGGCAGGACGCTCCGTGAGGGAAGCGGCCGCCTCGGCCCCATGTCTGCACCCACAAGCCCCCACCCCTTTGCAACAGCCTTGTGTGTGTGTTTTCAGGGGGGTGCCTGAGGCGAATTT